TTACAGTAGCTGGCATTTCCAAGCGGTCACCCTTCCAGATACTGACCAGGATCCACGTTGCTTAACTTCGGTGTTCATAAGGGAACCGTTGTCTCAGCGTGATACGGCCGTAAGCCCGAATAGTTTAAAGGTTCAGGAGCTATTTCTAAAACATATATATCACAGTTATTTTCTTATCACTTCCTAATATTTCAATTGTGTAAAAAAAAGTGTCATTTAAACAAAAACATCGACTATATCATAAATCTTTCCAAAAGCTAAGCAAAGTATTAAGAAACTGGAGAAAAAGAAAAGCGCTAAATTCGGGACAGTCACCTAACAGACGAGGAGAAGACTTGAAGCAACAGAAATGCGGTGCTACAGGAGGATACTGAGGATACTATGGACCGCAAGGGTGACCAACAACAAAGTTTTAGAGAAAATGGAAACAAAAAGGAGAATTATACTTAACAGCAGGAAGAGACCGTTGACATTTCTAGCGCACATAGTGAGGAAAGAGGGCTTGGAAAATCTGATACTCACAGGACAGATTGAAGGCAAGGGGTGCAGAGGAAAACGACACATAAATTACTTAATGGGCTTGAGCAAATGGATGGTGGAATAAGGTTTAAGAGAAATAACAAAAAGACTGAATTTATTAAGAGCTAAAATGGACAGGAAATTGTGGAGAGCCATGACCGCCTGTCCTGAAAGGACATGGCACATAGAAGAAGAATGAGATTGAGTAAATGGGTGGAGGAACAGGGTTTACGTGAGATAACAAAAAGAACAAAATAATTATTAAGAGCTATAAAGGAGAGGAAAATGTGGAGAGCCATGATCGCCTACGCCTTGAAGGGACACGGTACATAGAAGAAGAAGAAGAAGAAGAAGAAGAAGAAGAAGAAGAAGAAGAATGAGCTTGAGTAATAAGATAGCGGAACAAGCTCTAGGAAAGATAACACAAAGACAAACTTTATTAAGAGCTACAAAGGAGAGGAAATTGTGGAGAGCCATGATCGACTACGCCTTGAAGAAACGCGGCACATAGAAGAAGAATGAGGTTGAGTAAATGGAAGGCGGCACAAGGTTTAGGAGTAATAACAGACGAAATTTATTAAGAGCTACAAAGAAGAGGAAATAGTGGAGAGCGATGATCGGACCTGTCCTGAAGAAATTAAAACATGTCTTCTTAATGATTAATTTTGCTAATTAATTGATATATTATTTACATTATTCAGACTATTGTCCTCATCTTTGTCGCCATATTTGTTACAACGTTTCGGCCGTTGTACGCTCCCGCCTTCTTCAGGAATATAGACAGATACTAATTGATATATTTTTTAAATAAGATTTACGTTTGTTCGTAACATAGGTGAACCTAAAATCTAGTTAAACATGAGAATCACTATTTTAAAAAATAAAAAGTATGATTTTATTTACAGGTTATTTTTCGTGTATTTCTTCATTTTTTTTTTTTTTAAGGTTTTAACTTCATTTCAGGCAAGAATTGTAAAACATGAATTTATTATTTTCCTTTCCTGAAATTAAAACAAAAAGGTTTACAGCTAAAATGAATTGAAATTCTTCGTTAATTCTCTAAATGGATGTAATAATTTTCGCTCCAAAATATATCCCAATTTTATCAACTGAACTTTGAAAATTTATTTATTTAATCACTCTGGACTTTTAAAATAAGACATAAAATAAAAACAGAAATCAAATATATTTATTTAAAGATTTTATTTGAATATTTAAAATTTATTGTTAGAGTTTAAATCACTTTCAGGAATGGACATTTGTTGTTTATTTAAAAAGAAGAATTATCTAAAATCTAAAATAATTATATTAATAATTATATTTCTTACTTGATAGCTCAAATTTTAAAAAATAAACGGTAGGATTTTCCTATATTTGTTATTTAAAAAAAAGATTTTAAATCCATTTCGTGCAAGAATTTTAAGAGGAATTTATTAGAGAATTATATAAATTAATATTTATTGACATTATTTGTTTCCTGAAATTTAAACAAACAATTTTACAGCCAAGATAAATCTTTCTAATAAACATTAAGTAATTTATATTTCAAATTGTTCATTAATTCTTTGAATCCAGAAAACAGATAAAATGATTTTCGCTCCAAGATATATACCTATTCTATCAACTCACCTTTGAAAATTTATTTAAAATTCTTTAAAATAAGTCATAAAATAAACACAAAAACAAAATACCTTTATTTCAAGATTTAATTAAAATATTTATCTTCTATTGTTAATGGCTTTAGATCATTTTCAGGTGTGAAAGTATTTTTATGTCTATTTAAAAAAAAAAAGAAGAAATATCTAAGTTAATTTTATTAAGAATTATATTTCTGAAATGAAAGTTCAATATTTTCATAATCAAGACTAGAAGAATTAATAATCTCTTGTAATTATGAGATAATTTGCTTCTGTTAAAAAAAATATACCCAGTTAATTATTTTTGTAAATCTCCTCTTTCATCTGAATAATTTGAAACATTAATATAAACAACAAAAAGACATCGATTTATTTTCTTTCAAAATTGTAAAACATTATTCTTGATTAATTCCATTACAGATCAAAACCAAAGTGGTTTTCAACCCAAATCTTAATCAAAATATCTATGAACTGACCAGGTTTGACGTTGCTTAACTTCGCTGATCGTCCGAGAAACAGTGTTTGAACGTGATATTTGCCGTAAGCCATTCCAGGCGCACATCCAAGAATATATCACTTAGTATTCCCAAGCGGTCCCCCATCTAGATACTGTCCAGGCTCAACGTTGCTTAACCTCCGTGATCACTTATTAGGTTTATTAATTATGCTATAATTCTTTGAATTAAGAACAAGAATAAAATGATTCTCACTTAAAAAATATTTTTATTCTATCAACGCAAAAATTTTAAATGTCCTTTTTTGCAAACATTTTGAACTTTTAAAATAAGGCCTAAAATAAACACAGAATCAAATTCCTTTATTTCAAGATTTAATTAAAATATTTATATTTTATTGTTAAAGGGTTTAAATTACTTTCAGGTATGAACTTTTTAGTGTCTATTTTTAAAAAAATAATATTTCTAAATTATTTTTATAAAAAATTATATTTCTTAAATAAAAGTTTAATATTTCCATAATGAAGAATAAAGATTCAAATTAACATCAATTAATACATCTCTTGTAATTATGAGATAATTCGCTTCTCTTAAAAAAATATACCCAGTTAATTAATTTTGTAAATTTCTCTTTCGGAATATTTTGAAACTTTAATATAAACTATTATTTCAACAAAAAGACATCGATTTATTTTCTTTCAAAATTATTACTGATTATCAAATGTTTTAATTCTCTTACAGCTGAAAACTAAAGTGGTTAACTTTGGTGATCGTACAAGAAACAGTGTTTGAACGTGATATGTGCCGTAAGCCATAATTTTATACCCTGTAATTCCCAAGAGGTCACCAATCTAAATACTATCAAGGTTTAACGTTGCTTAACCTCAGTGATCACTTATTAGTTGTATTAATTATGCTATAATTCTGTGAATTAAGAAATGGAATAAAATAATTCTCACTTTAAAAAAATATTTTTGATCTATCAATGCACGAATTTAAAATTTTGAATTTTTAAAATAAGGTATTAAATAAACACAAAAATTAAATAAATTTATTTCAAGATTTAATTAGAATATTTGTCTTTAAAGAGTTTAAATTACTTTCACGTATGAAACTTTGTTGTTGTCTATTGTAAAAAATATAATTAAATTAGCAAATATATTTTTAATTAAATGTTCAATAATCAAGAATAGATATGTAAATTAATTAATTGTGCGATAATATGCTTTTGTTAAAAAATATCTCCAGTTAATTCATTTTGTAAATTTACTTTTTTTCTAAATATATGTAAAACTTAAAAACAAACTATTTTTCCAACAAAAACCATCAATTTATTTTATCGAAATCTAAAAATTCTTAATTCAATTTCAGCAAAGAAAAACAAAGTTTTTTTTATAACCAAAACATGCAGACATATTTTGTTTTTATGAGATGTTTCTTCATCATTAATTTCATAAATTAGCTCATAAATTAGCTCATTTTAGATAAAACCAAACGGCTGCTCGTAACATAAACTGCGCAGAAAATATCGCTTCAGTTAAAACTTTGAAATTTAAAAAGACCTTTTCTGTGACGTTTTTGAACTTTTAAAATAAGGCATTAAAAAAACAGAAAAATTAAATACCTTTATTTCAAGATTTAATTAGAATAAATGCCTTTAAAGGGTTTATATTAGTTTCAGGTATAAACATTTGTTGTTGTCCATTGTAATAAAATAATTAAATTAATTTAATTAGCAATTACATTTCTTGAATTAAAATTAAATATTACCATAATCAAGAAGAGACATTCAAATTAACATCGATAAATATGTCTCTTTTATTTGTGCGATAATTCGCTTCTACGAAAAAATATCTCCAGTTTATTAATTCTGTAAATAACCTTTTTTTTCTAAATATTTTTAAAACTCTAAAATAAGCTATAATTTCATCAAAATCCATCGATTTATTTTTTCGAAATTTAAAAAGACTTTATTAAGAAAAGGTTTAATTCACTATCAGTTAAAAACCAAAGTTTTTGTGATGAAAAAATGCAGAGATTTCTGTGTGCTTTTAACAGAAAAGACTTCTTCATTATTAATTTCATTAATTAACATATCTTTTATGTAAAGCCAACGGCTTACGGTAAAACAGACTGTTGGGAAAATATCTCTAAAGTTAAAACGATGAACGTTCGTTTTTTGTGGATATTTACATATTTAATAAAAAGCTTAATTTAAACAAAAACATCAAACTGCTTCACTTTCGAAATTTTATTTTTCCAAATTATTCTTGATTATGAAATTCACTTTAATGTAAGAATTTATACATTAATATTATTAGCAATTACGATTTTTCCTCAAAATAAATACACTTATAAAGACGAATAATCGTTGAATAAATGTCAGGTAATATTTTTTACAGCTGTACAATAATTTGCTTCGATTGAATAAAAAATGATTGTCTCATAAAATATCACCTTATTCATTCACTTCAAAACGTCTTTAAAACATTTCTTGATATT